CAGAAAGAGTACGGCAGGCCTCTGCATGCAGGCCTCCCCCGGCAGCCCGGCTTCTGAGCGCACCGCTGCCCCGGACATCCACTCGACTAGAGGGAGCCCCCAGATCCCAGTGGGCTTTCCCCCCATTTAAGGATTGTTACAAAAATTGCAAAGAAAGGATAAGGCATATAAACTTTTAATTTTTAAAAAATTTACAATAAAGGATATCACACATAGCTTGGGGAAGTAACCCAGGACACTGTGGCCCACGGGGCCCACAGCTGCAGCCTCCTCCACGGGGGGTCAGGACACGGCTGGCCTGCGGGTCTCCCCAGAACCACGGCCCAGGAGGGAGGCCGTGCCCACCCTGTCCTCCTGTAGGGGCCGAGCGTGGCCATGGCTTTGCAAGCAGCGCGCACACCCCGCCGAGCAGTGCGGTTATTAGTAGGACTGTGTGCGCCGGGGCACGGGGACACAGAAGACGAGGTTAGTGCTGCAGGCTCCCAGCTCCAAGGCCCTCCAGCCTCGATGGCTGTCCTCTGGCCGTCACAGGGCTGGCTCTGGCCGCACACGAGCAGCATGGTCCTGGGTCTCCCAGGCCGGATGTGGCTTCACTGCAAGAGGAGACCGCAGTCAGGGCCAGGGCCACCGGGACCCATGGTGGCCTGAGCGCGGTTCCAGAAACAGCTCAAGAGCAGGAAGCTCCCACCGTTTTGCCGTGTCACCCAGCAGGGGCTGGTGGTGCTGGTAGGCCCTCCCTTCTGTGGGGGACAGGCTGGGACACCCGTGGGGACAGGAAGGGAGGAACTCACATTACCGCTGGCGTCCTCGAGACCACTGCTGCTGCTGTCATTTTCCACAAAAAGAGGCTCTATTGGGGACACCCTAGAGACAGAAGCATAGAACGGGGTTTCACTCGGGGGTAGACTGCCAGTGTGTGGTCACCTGGCACCAGGCCCCAAGTCCAAGCCAGCAGGGCAGGTGGCCCCAAACGGACAGGCCTGAGGCCCCGGAGGATGGGCAGGGCTGGCGGGGGGGGGGGGGGTCTTCTGCACCTGCCCCCCTGCTTGGGCACAGCCCAGGGGTCTTCCCAGTAGAGGCAGCCCCACCCCACTGTCTCCCTCATCCCTCCACTGGACAGGGAGCAGGGCTGCCCCCACACCTGCCTGACAGCAGTTATGACCCCAGGACCGTGGTGGTCACGAGTCCGCCTTCCGGTGGGGCTGCATCCAGGGTCAGTGCCTGGCATGGGGCCACGGGAGAAGGGCAAGTCATGGTGATGGCCCCAGGGGCTGTCGAACCCACAGGGAACTTGAGAAGTGGAAGGGGACGGAATGAGGGGTCCCTTGGCGCAGGGCAGAAGGGGAGACACAGGCGGCAAAGGCGGTGACACCATGTACCGTCGGCTTGCAGGACGCCCTGCTGGAGTGCGTGAGGAAGAAGGTGCCTGTGCTGCTGTCTCGGGGGATGGCCCGTTTGGTGGTCATCGACTCCGTGGCAGCCCCATTCCGCTGTGCGTTTGACGGCGCGGCCTCGGTCCCCAGGGCCCGGCGTCTGCAGGCGCTGGGCGGTGCCCTGCGCTGGCTGAGCTGCACCTTCCGGAGCCCGGTGCTCTGCGTCAACCAGGTGGGTGCCCTGGCCAGCACCCCGGACCGCAGATGGCCTCAGCCGATGGTTTAGGGGCGATGCGGGGTGGGGGGAAGCAGTGGGCTCTTTGCAGCAGTTGACCCCGGTCTGCACGTTGCAGGTGACAGAAGCCACAGAGGAGCAGGGCGCAGCACCCGGGCCACAGAGGTGAGTGGAGAGGCGCAGGAGGGCAGTGCAGAGGTGGGAGTGGGGGAGGACTGGGACCCCCACAGTTCTGTAAGTAACGACTGGGCCTGTCTTCCATCTCAGCCCCTGGGACGAGCGCGTCTTCCCGGCTCTCGGAATAACCTGGTCCCACCAGCTCCTGATGAGGCTGATGGCGAGCCGACATCGCCTGGAGGACGGGGGGCGCGCCGCGCCTGGCCGCCCAGACCGCACCCTGAGGGTGATCTTCGCCCCCCACCTGCCCCCCTCATCCTGCTCCTACACAGTCAACGCAGAGGGAGTGCGAGGGACTCCGGGGACCGAGTCCTGCTGACACGGCGCCCATGGAGTACATGGCCAGATCAGTGGCGGATGCTGGCCAAGCCCTCCCCGCTCTGCAGGCACAAGGGCCTGACGGGGACTCGGCATGCCCGTCGCCCGGTCTGGGTGGGCGACGTCCACCACGGCAGGGAGGCCGTGCACGCGGAGGAGCCACCGGCGAGGCCTCCCCACGGTGGGCCCTGGACCCCTTTGCTGTGCACAGCTCGCTCTCTGCCAGGCTCTGGCCTAGGTAGTAAGTCCTCCCCACAGCTGCGGGTCCTCTCCACCGCCCCTGGGGTGGTCTCGGGGCCACTGAGGCACAGAACAGTCAAGTGACTTGGCCATCATCCCGCCTGGGCTAGTGCCGGGAAGACCGGCACGCGCCTGCCCCGGTACTGGAGGTGGAGGCAGAGGTCCCTGGAAGTGGGCAGACTCTTTCTGTTTGGACATTTCCTAGAGCAGAAACATTCACTTGTAATTTCTATCCCATTTTTGAAATAGTCTGTGGCCCTCAAAAGGTCAGGAACGGCTGGTGTAAGTAGGAAAAAGGCCTTCTAGGGTTGCAGTTTTATAAAAGAGCCTTTGCACAAGTGCGGGAACTTCACAGCAGGAAATACACCATTTTATTTTTGTAATTAAATATAAACAACCCCAAATTATTTTCTAAGCAAATCACACGAACAGTGAGAAAACTACGATCGAAGACTGTAGGTACACGTGCCAGACAGGCCTCCCCCTGGGGGGCGCACACCACACACACTCGTCAGTACTGGGGCCCCTGCCCACCCATCCCAGAGGGACGCCCCCGCAGCAGCGCGTCTCTCCGCGACACAGACGGCCCAGACCCCCAAAGAGTTCCGCGGCCGGGGCCCTGTACCGTCCCCTCCATCCCATGCTCTCCTCAAGGCTCATCGCACAGGCCTCGCAGACCTGGGGTCCCTCCCGGGGGTTCTCCCCCAGGACGATGAGGACAAATGTGGAACAGTGCACGTCTTTCTGCCTGCCCCAGGCACCGCAGGATGCCGGTAGGCCCCGACGAGACTCCCTCCACTGATGGGAAGCTCCCCCTCGGTCGCTGCTTGACCGCACTCGAGTTTTCGGGAGTTTGAGGACTACACGGCACGGTGGCCAGGAGGAAGGGCAGATAGAAACGTCTCAGAAATCAGCCTCATCTATGCCACGTGCCTCCAGAAACATCCTATGAAGTTACAGTGACGGACGACACGTTCTGGGAACCGTAAAGGATGTTTTGGAGCAGTAGTAGTATGTCACCATAAACGCTGAATCTTACGTGATACTTCTAGCAGCTTTCTGAACAAACAAATGACAGGAATTTTTTTAATTCCAGGAAGTAACAGACTCCCTACGATACTGTAAACACAAGACGAGCGCCACAGGCTGCTGTGGGGGAAGTCGGGAGGGTCAGGAGACCCAGGCCTCCCACCGCCTCCCCCACTCTAACAGGCCGTGGAGGGGGCTCTGCAGACGGTGGCCAGCTCCTGTCTGTCCTCGGGCCGGGGGCTCGAACTGGACAGGAAGCATGTACAGTGGGTGCTGGCTGCCACTCTAAGGGTCCCCTCACTGGGAAAGGAAAACATTGTGGAGGAGGGACAGCCACCCCCACTGCTGCCCTCTTCGAGAATGTTCGAATCCACGAAGTAGGGATACGCGGGCTCATTCTGTTTTGATACAAGTTCAGAAATCAGACATCACAGATTTCCAGGCAGCAACCCCGGAGACATGGAAGTTTCGATGACCTGGGTTTCGGGAGGCCGTCTGGCTCCTCTCACCCCGGCTATGTTTCCTCACAGCCCCACAAGGCAATGTCGGCCCTGGGAGAACCATGCGCCGAGGGCTCCCAGGCTGGGAGGGTTCAACAAAGGCCCCCCTGCTGCGAGCAGGACGTTAAATCCTGTTCTCGGCCCCATGTTCTCCAGACACTGGTGTCACTAAGGGAAACAAGTTAGGCTTCGAAAGCACCAGATCAGCTTCATGGCCTGAGAGGAGCCCTTCGGACAGAGGGGACAGGGCAGCTCCCAGGGCCCTCCCCACTGGTCACATCACACCCCGGCAGCCCCCGTGCCTCAAAGGGAAGCGAGGACACGGCTCTGCTGTTCTCTTGGCTTGAGCATCTCACAACCCATCCCACGTGCAAACCAACCCTGGAGAGCACTCCCGGCCCACCAGAAGCTGCAACAACCGGACAGTCGGGCGCTGCGCAAAGGGGGGCGGCCGTGGAAGCCCCCCAGCCAGACCCACGGGCACCTTCCGGCAGAACACAGAGCACCGATCTCTGGGCAGGAACAGGCACACAGCCACGTGCTCCTGCGGTCTTAAACGATGGGACGCTCCGTAAGTTCCCAGCCCGCAGCCCCCAAAGGACACGTGTAGTACCGGGGGACCCCCAGGAAGACCCCTCACACGTACCCGGGCAAAGTGCAATTCAGGAGGAAGAGGTGGCTGGGGACAGGCAAAAGCACGTGTCCTGGCAGTGACACCATAGAACATTAAAGTCACAACCTGCAGCATGTCACCGGGAAGCACCACGTCTCCCAGACCCCCTCCCCTACAGGTTGCATCTCCCTGTTCCCGCCTGCTGGCCTGGACGTCCCCCTGCTCACTGCCACTGCCATCTGCAGTCACAAACCCCGTCATCTGCTCAGAATGTTCTAAACCTACGAGGGAGCCTCACGCAGTCCGTCCCGGGGAGGGCTGCAGGGTGGACCGGGACACGCTCCCATCAAAACCTACCCCGTGCTACTTAACTCTACCAAGAAAACCTTTTGAAAAATAAACCCACATCCCTGTGTGCTTGGCGCTCAGAGCGGCCGCACGGAAGGAGCGGGGCTCAGCCGGGACCAAACCCACCGGCGCGTCACCATCTCTCTTGCTCCCAAATACCCAGTCTGAATCCCGGGGGCGCTGCCAGAGGCCATCAGATGCATAGTGTAGAAGGGTGCAGTGCGACGTTCCAGAGCCTGAATTTACAGCCTTAATACAGTGTGAACATTTACAACCGATCCTGGTGTAGTGGCAGAGAGTACAAGTGTCCCGGGAGCAGCGGCTGGTTCCCAACGAGCTGCAGCCACTTGCGCGGGCCTCCGCGGGCCTCTGCGCCCGGCCGGTCTCACGCTCACACTTCGGCCCCTCTTGGTCGCTAGTAGCACCGACAGCTTAACAGAATTCGGGGCAAACCTCCAAGAGGCGGCGGACAGCACTAGCTAGAAAAGGAAGCAACCCCGGAGCGGGGGGCCCTGCTGAGTGGGTAGGGGCGTGGCAAAGCCCGCGGGCCTCAGTGCTTCGTTAGTCTCGGGGGTTCTAGCTAGCTCTGCCTCGGCCCTCAGTGGGCCAGGTCAGTGTGGCTGGCGCTCAGAGCTCGCGAGTCCGCCAGACAAGTATTTCGTTCCTGCGTGAAAAAACAAATGAAAAAATTACACTTCACCCGTACTCCAGAGGGCGAGGATGCCGGCGAAAGGGGTCTGAGCGCTAACCATCACAGCAGGACACCTGCTAAGTCAGCACTCGGGCACTGTGACGCTCCCGGGCACAGGCCAGCACTGAGACGTGAGCACGGGACCACGGGGACAACCACACCTTCCGCTCTCGTGAGCAGGCGTGCTCCGGGCGCACGGCCCAGCGCTACCAGCACCTCACGTCTGCCCGGGGCCTGGCAGAAAGCACCCTGGGAACAGCCAGCTCCTAAGGTGCTGGGGGCTGAGGAGGGAGGCCTGCGACCGCCAGCAAGTGTCCAGGAGGGGAGCAGCCGGACTGGGGCTGCTAAGAGGCGCAACGGCCAGGAATTCTGGTCACTGGCGGACGAGCAGGAACCGCTCCGTCACAGGGCTCTCCCGGCCCGAAGTTCGGCTGCCGGTTCGACTGTCTGGTTCGCTCGGCGCCCTTGGCCACACCCGGACAGTCACACCAGATGTTGAAAGAAATGGAACATCAGAATAGAGGAAGGGACCAACAGTTTCAAATGGGAAGGGGACGGTTCATGCAAGCCTTGGGACACCAAAAAAAGTGCTCAAGACTGGGTGTGAAAGTGACAATGGGTCAGTTACAACATTAGTAAAGGTCTAATAGTTTTAAAACACTGAACAACAGCTTAACTGGACAATGAATTAGTTACAAACTTACCAGAGGCTAAAAATCATACAAATTAATAGTACACATTAAGTGGCCAAGTTCTGATACTACTTTATCAGAATATTTAAATTTTAATTGGCTTAATCCAACCATTTAAAGATCGTGAATATGTGAGAACGCTCATGACACACACGTTCCCACAATTCACGTAATCAAATTAACGCAGAATCCGGAAATATCATTATGCCACCTCTCGAAGACCCAGAGACACTTAAGTGTCCCCAAGGCCGTCGGAGGTGGCAGTGGTGCCGGGAAGGGCCTGCGGCTGCCCAGCGAGCCTCGGCCAGGTAGTCAAGGGAACTGAGTGGGGCAGGGCTCCTTACTTGGAAATGGTCTTCAGCAGCCTTGCCACCCACGTTAAGGACATTCAGGGAACTGGCCCGCTTCATGCTGTGAACAGGGCAGTGGACATGCAAAAGGACAAACCAGCGTGTCAGTCAACTGAGAGCAGCAAAGACACCCCTCCAAGGCCTCTGTCACCATGCGGAGTCCCTGGAGCCATCCCTCATGGAGCATGGGCCTTTATCTCACTGGGACTGGGGTGTCTGCCCAGTTCTTAACAGGGACGCCCCAGGGGTATCTGTATGGAAACTCCAGTAGAGAAAAAGCAGTTTCCCTGTGTCTGTCTCAGCGACGTACTGTCTGAAACACTGTGTGTAAACCCCACACGTGGTTGCACGCCCCCCGTGTGACACCTGGCTCGCGGAGCAGCTCTGCCCATCCAGCCCTCTGGCTAGGCCTGAGTCCGCAGGGCACGTCAGGTCAGTTTTAAGAAGGGAGCCTGGCGCTTCCCCCAAACTCACTGCTCGCCCTGTGATCATGTAAAAGACCTCTTGAAGCTCAGTGTTAAGATCGGATACATCTCTATATGCTCGTGCACTTTCTATGTTTTTATATTAAAAGGAAAAATTTTTTATTAGCCAAATAAACTCAGAAGCTAGGATTTCTCTGCTTTCAAACCAAAATTTGAAACAAATTTCATGGCTTTACCTTCAAGGAAATCTAGTAATTTGAATGTGTATTTACTTTTTTCTCCCACCTGACACCTTTAGAATACCTGATGGACCATCCTGCAAATCACCTACACCTTGAACGTGATGGGGGCCAGCCACGTTACCATTCTCGCCCACCGCCAGCAGGCATGCCCTCCAACAGAAAACCACCTTAGCTTTGAAAGATAAAATAACGAGATTCAGGGTTCTTCCCAAACGTCTGCAAGAGGAATACGACGGTGAAGCGGCTTCGACAGGAGCAGTGCGTGCGAGCGTTTGCTCTGAGAGCTGACGCGCGGTGGTGAGGCTCGAGCGCGCGTGAAGGGTCACCACGACCAGACACGTCAGTGCGCCGGGAATGGGCACGAGGGCCCAGGTCCCCACCCGAGTGGCCGCCAGCACCATGGGCACCGCGCCCGGCAAACGGCGGGTACTTACCACATTCTCACTGAATGAGCTCCACCAAAAGCAAAAAGACCTTAATTCACTTAACCTCAAGTAAAATTCACTCCCCAAATCCCCGAGCCAGGACAAACACAAGCACAACAACCCCACGAATTCTACGTCAGTGCAGCTAGATTCTGCACAAGCTTCCTCTACACAGCACTACTCAAGAACAAAGGAAAATTCAAACCAAATCACACTGGCGCACTTGCACACTTAATTCTTTTTAAGTGGCCAATGGACTTTTTCTAAGAGAGTTACAGAACCCTCCTCCTCACACTCTTTTCCTTACAAGACACAAGTAAAGACAATTTGACCTTGCCAGCAAGTCTCCCCCTGGCGCAGCAAGCTACATCCACACCCCTCCCTTCCACCATGGTGGACAGGACAGGAAGAACACCGACTTGGGGGTTCTCAAAATGTGGTCTTGGACCAGCAGTGCTGGCATGAGCTGGGAACTTGCTAGAAAGGTCAGTGGTGTGAGGGGTGGGGGGTGCAGGCCCACTGCACCATAAACTGAAGGCTGGGGCCCCAGCGGTCTGTTCAGACCCCGCCGGAGACGCTGATGCTCAGGTCTGAGAGCCACTGGTCCAGTGAATACACAGTCACTCTTACCAGGACAGATGACTCCGTTTTATGCATTTTATGGGACAAAATTCCTAGAGCCATTGACGTTTTCATCAAGTTCAGTGAGGGCCCACCTCCAATACTACACGTGACGACGTGCTGCACGCGCATGGCCAGCCCCATGCTGGGGAGCACTCGCACGGCCACGTCACAGCCGAGACGGAAGGTGGCACAGGAGGGAGACAACTGAGCTCCGTCACGTGGGAAGGAAGGGCCATGTCACGGACTTAGTGCCAGAACTGGACTCTGCATTTGAAAAGCCCCAGAACACCCAGATCCGCCAAGGGCCACAGCGTATCTGGCCTGGAGGAGCCAATCGATGGCGCACGGAGAGCACCGCGGGGACAGGTCACTCCCGCACATCAGATCCAGTCCAGGACCATACGCTACGCAACCGTTCAACGGTTTGTTCGGATCCTTGTAACGTGGCCAGGAAACAAAGACAAAACAAAACAAAAATGGGGCAGAGAGTGACCTGTCGTTTAGTTCTGTCAGTATTTTAAAACAAGCACTTTATCCCAAAGGCAATTTCCTTTCCCGGACGCACGTTCATCCATCGGGCGGCAGGCTCTGGTGCCGAGAGCAGGACAGAAGGACAAGGACAGGACGGCAGTCTGCTGCTCAGCCCCACATCCTTCCAGAAGCCCCGGCTGGCTTTCAACACTGCACCTCCCAGGTAGTTTCACAACAAACATGTGGCGCTCGCAGACTCCCTCTTCAGAAACAGGCTTGGAAACGTCCTTGAGAAGAGGGTGACAGCCACCTAGTCAAGTCAAATTCCTTGTCCTGCCACACACGCCATCCAAAAAATGTGTGTGTCCACCAGCAGAGACACCTGGGGGCACAGGGCGGACAGCAGACCTGGGCCTCTGCTCCCCAGCTGGGGGGCTGAGCCTGCGCGGCAACACTGGGGGGCCCAGGGGTGCAGGAGGTAGGCCCTCAGTGACGGAGACCAGAACGAGACGGGACGCCCCTCAAAATGACACAGCAGGCCGCTGGAAGAGCCTGTCACCTCCGGTCTCTGACACGCTGTGCAAAGGGGCCCCGCTTCCCAGTCCGGCAGCGGGAGACTCCCTGCCCACGGACGGGGAAGCGGAGTCACTCGGACAACGGCGTTTTACTCAGACTCCATCTTTAAAAAGGAGTTTCACAAAACAGCTGACAAAAGAGGGCCTCCGTGAGAAACGCGTCCCAGACAAGATGCTGTTCACGCCAGAAATAACCCAGAAACCGGGGCAGACCGCTAACGCTCCGCTGCGTCTCGCAAAGAACAGAGTGCCTCCGAACCGAAGTCCTTTGACAACTTCAATGTTACTGTTCAAAAGACTCCAAGACTCATGAGTCTCCGTCCTTTAAACACAGGGAAAATCTGGGCTGCTCTGCTCAATTCCCAAAGGAACTCCTTCCACTCCAGTCCTCCAACTGCGCTCCTACTTAAAACCATTACTCTCCCTGCATTACCGCCTGTGAGTCTCCTAGTCACAGCTACTGCTCCGATTTTGAAAAGATTTTAAAAGCTAGTTTTGAAGGATTTACACTAACAGTAATTTAAAAAGAAGGAGCAGCTACCGAGAGTAAACAAGTGAACGTGGTCAGTGTTTTCATACAAAGCTCCCACGGGTCGGTGCTACGGCTCTTCTGGACGCGCAGCAACAAACCGCAGAACCGCACAGGCCGGGAAGCCCCGCCCTTCCAGCCTCTGCGCGGAAGCTGCGCGGTGCTTCTCTGCCAGCCCCAGCGGACACGGGAGCCGCTCCAGCCCCGGGGCGGGGACGCGAGCAGCAGCGGGGACACCGCGCGGCGGGGCGGTCAGCAGGGGCTGCAGGGAGATAATTACCCGGGGTTCTTTGGGTCACTCTCTCGAGAGCTTCCTCCCTTCAGCTTCCTAACCAGCTTCTCACTGCTGCGTCTAATTGAAGCCCGGAGTTTGCTAAAGGAGCCACTGCGCTTTAAAGATCCCGTGCCGTCCTGAAAGAGACGTGAACACATGTGAGACTGCAGACGGCCCGTCCTGGCCTCCTGAGAGGCAACGCTGAAGGCAAACAAGAACTCACACCACAGCTGGCCTACGTGTCTGTGACCTGCTGGCAATACGGTTGCTATAGAAATTACGTTTGCCTCGTCTGTAAGTACACTTTAATAGACATCTACCCACTTTAAATTTCAGTCAAGACAATCCAATGATCACGAAAACCTCTGACCATGAAGAAGTTCAAACAAAAAATAATATCCCCAAAAATCATATCGCTGTTTGGGTGGAACAAAAGGTCACACATGGATAAGTCTCAAGAAAATTAAGGCTGCTTCTTGGAAGATCACCCAAATCAAATTCCACATTTAATAAAAACAAGCATCTGGTCCCCGTTTAACAGGACTGGACCCACACCAGTGAGGACTGACAGAGACAGCTTTTTTTTAACACTTTCGTGTACAGGCAGCACACTTAGGTGTACTGCTTCTTCCGTAAATTTCATCAGGTTTACTGAGGCGTGTACACGTGCGTGATCTACACCCGATGTGGGGCTTGCACGCACAGCCCCACAGATCAAAAGCCACACGCCCTTCTGACTGAGCCCGCCAGGCACCCCTTTGGTACATTTTTAAAAAGTTTTATTAAATGTTGACTGTAAGTGTGGTTGGAAATTAAATAAAAAAGTCATTCCATACAGTAACTGAACCCCCCTGACACCTTGCAGGAGGTGTCCAGCTGTCATCATAAGTGGCCCAGGTACTCAGTGAAACATTTGCCGGTATCTGGGTATGAAAATCAAGAACCAGAGTTTGAAAAACTGTGTGTATGAGCAACTTTTATTCTCAGAATGAATCACTCAGTGAGATTAAGAGCAGCCCCGTTCCTTCAAGAAGCTACGCAGTGCCGCATTCCACGGAGAGAGTGAGACGTTCTACCGGGCAGACAGACACCAAGACACGGGTCAGTTGGAGTGAGTTTATTAGAAGTTAGAAAGACACAAATACACAAATCACTGAACACTTAAAGATTAGTGGAGAAAAGCAAAATTGCCAAAATGTCACAGAGACTACACAGCAAAGGCTACTTGAGCGAGATCCTAAGGGGAGAGCCCGGGGCACGGGCAGCCCCTCCGGGTCTCAGAGGGCAACGGGAGCAGCACATGCCCTATTCCTACGGCCTAGCTAGTTCCACGGTCACTGTCATGCCACGGCATTAACACCTGCAGGAGACTTCTAACTACCTTTGATCAAAGTGAACGACTAATCGCTCTTAATTCTTAAACTCATGTATCACACGGTAAATGGTTTTTATTAACACAGTTGATATTACTAAGTACATATCTGGCAAAGCTACATGTATACAGAGATAAGGAACCCCCCAAAAAGGACAGCAGCACCGAAAGGAATGGCCAGTCACAGAGAGGTGGCGCTCTGACAAGAATCCTAGGGGATTGCTAAACACAGCAGTCAGCACTGGAGAGAGAAGGAAAGCTGGAGGAGGAGCCGCCCGTCATGCAGGAGACAGTGTGAGCGTCACATGAGGCAGCTAGGCCTGTCAGACAGAAACGGAGAGAGAGAGCCCAGTGAGCCCGCTGTGAGAACAGAGCCAGCCCCCACGGAACGCAGCGTGGCTTACAGTATTTCTAGGTCACAGATCTCAGCAGTGCTTCTCATCCCTCTAGTATCCGGGATCACCTTCCGCCTGCTTCTATCAGCCCAGTACCAAGAGGCACTGGGGCCGTCTGCTGCCTTTTACGACTAGTCACTCTTGTCATCAAGGTAACACTCCGCGCCCAGAGCGTGGATTAGACTGTGCTAGAAATCTCCAGGATACTTACTATCACGAGGTCCAGGAACTGTACAGAAAGGAGATTCCATATTGAGAAACATCGACAGTGACCAAAAGATTAAGGCTGCACGTAAGAAGAGGCCGTTCAAACCTTTAACTTCATGAGGAATCCTTCCTTTCACACCCCTGAACTCCTGTGGAGTTCTGCCATCAGAGGGAACGGTCTCTTAAGAGCTCTGACCGTTTAGTTCAAAAACTTGAAAAAACCAATGACTTTAGTTAGACTTTAGCACATTTTAAACATGCAGTTGATAATCCAAATTAAGATTAATTCTAGAAAATGGATTTCCACAGGCAGCAGTGCACCGTCTAGCAGACCGGAACCCCAGTGGTCCCGGACGGAAGCCCCGGACAGCAGGGGCCGAGCCCCTGCCCGCTCTGACTCACCATGGGACGCTCAGCAAATCATTTAACCAGCCCGAGCTTCATTTTTCTCATCTTTAAAATGGAAAAATAAGATTTGTTACCAACTCCCCGCAAATGCTGGGAGGACAAGAAAACATAAGTTCTTGTTGCTCTTTCAGAGAAAGAACATTCAACTGTTAATTCCACAGACAGTACAATTCTGCAGTTCGTTTCAGAATCCATCGCTACACTATAGCAGTGCTCCTTATCCCTCTCCGGCCACTCTGCAGACTACAGGGGAGTGACCAGATTCCGGAAACACTTCATGTGGGACACACACAGGCTTCCCCGGCCCCATCCCTCGCCCTGCAGCTGGCGCACAGGAGCTGGGCTCCGGAGGCAGCACCTGGCTGGGGAAGGGGGCGTGGGGGAGCAGGCTGCCCACCCCCTCCTTGCACTCACCCTCCAGAACCAGTGGGAGCAACAGCAGAAACCCACCCCAAACCCCACCCCAAACCCGGGTGGATTTCTATTCAGTAAAAGCTGGAGAGTTGGGAGGTCTCCCGCATTCTAACTCTTTCAAAAACAGTCTACTTCTCTATATTGCCAGGAAAGAATCCTTAACATCAAAGAAGTGGGTTTCTGAACAGAAATGAACACTGTAGCATATAAGCTAAGAAACGAAGGGCAGGGGCGCCTGGGTGGCTCAGTGGGTTAAGCCTCTGCCTTCGGCTCAGGTCATGATCTCTGGGTTCTGGGATCGAGTCCCACATCGGGCTCTCTGCTCAGCAGGGAGCCTGCTTCCTCCTCTCTCTCTGCCTGCCTCTCTGCCTACTTGTGATCTCTGTGTGTCAGATAAATAAATAAAAAGTCTTTAAAAAAAAAAAAAAAGAAACGAAGGGCAGTAATTCTTTGTTCTTTTTGTTATACTCTTGTCTTCCTAATACAATTTTTTAAAAGATTTTATTTAGTAAAAGAAAAGATTTTATTTATTTGACAGAGATCACAAGCAGAGGCAGAGAGGCAGGCAGAGGGAGAAGCAGGCTCCCCACTGAGCAGGGAGCCCGATGAAGGGCTGGATCCCAGGCCTGGGGATCACGACCCCAGCCAAAGGCAGACGCACAACCGACTAATGCTCAGGATGGCGCCCCTTCCTAATACGGTTTTTAAAACTAACTCCATTTCTAATTAACAGTCTGTACTATCCCATTCCTCAGTCATCTTGGGCACGAATTCAGTATCTTTGGGAAAACAAGCACTCCCATGGGTGCAGGAGGGGTGGGCTCCTCCAGAAGGGCCCTGCTAGGAACTGGCAAGTCAGAAACAGGACAGAGTAGAGAAGACGGAATGGAGGATGTGATGCTTCCTGGGGCCCTAGTGGGACGGCTGCGTAATGGCACAGCACGGGAATCCCACGCATACGAGGGGCCCAGACTCCAGGGACGTAGCCACAGCCCTCAGAGGGGACGGCAGCCATGTGCACAGCGGGTAAAGTAAAGGGAATCCAATCTGGCCAAACAGGATTCCTGTGCACACATTTGCATCTTTAATGGGGCCAGAAGAGAGAACTCAGACTTACCCTGACAATGACTTTCAGCTCTGTGTACTTTATACAAAAATAAGCGTGAGGAAGTTACATTTTCCAGTCCTTTAATCACCATCTTAATGGTATGTACTTAACAGAACTGCACTTCCCTAAAAACTTGATCCAGAAATTTCATATGAATGATTATGTATTTTCAATAACCTTACTTTTCCGGTACTTTAACAGCACGGAATTCTGTGCGGGCCCAGACTCCTGGCAGCTGCAGGGCACAATCAGAACCCAGACTGCCCGACCTCGGGCCACGCTGCCCTCTGATTTTCATGTTACTTCTGAATGCTGGGACCAACCACACTCCCTCACATATACGGGCTCCTGCACACAGCTACGCCAACAGAACGGGACTGCCGTCCGCCCCGCTGCAGGAGCGCCTGCCCCACACGGCAACACAAGGCTTCTCCCTGCGATAGCAGTTAACTTTTTAAAGGGCACCAAAATCCTTTTTTAAAAACCTAAAATCTAGTGCAGAACTCCAATATAAGATACAATCTAGGTGGCACTTTCTCACTGTAAGTGTGTGACAAGTTCCTAGAATAATATGCACCAGTGAGAACCGTGAAGCCACCTTTAGAGAACACCAGGCTGAAATACGAAATTACAGAAGATGGGTCTAGCCTCGGCACCTAAACTCCCAGTTTGTTCCCAGCTGGTCTGGACGGCCCGGCACCCAAATCGTGCTCAGGTAAATGATGCAGGTGGCAGCTGCTCTCAACCACGTGCCTCGTCACCACAGGGAACGCCTTACTCCCACCCTGGGGGCCTGAATCGCTCAGTCTCACACCGGGGCAAAGCCTGACATGGGGCGCAGTGCAGACATCCGGACTGAAGGCGACATCCACACGGGGCTCCTTCAGCTGCAGACACCTGCACCTCTGTCAGGCGGACTTGAAAAAAGTCCTGGTGTGCGTACTGCCTGTATCGCCTCTTCTTAAACCATCACAGTACGCTCTGAAAATGGAAGTCCGGCCTGAAGTTGGGAGAGCTCAGCACCACCTCCTCAGAAGTAGCGAGCCGGGCCTTCCTGAGAAGGCTGGGCCGGGCCGGGTCTGAGCAGGGGCCGCAGGGGCCGGCGGTGAGCACAGCAGCCCAGGCGCTACCCCTGGGCAGTTCCGGAGTCGCCTGCTGCTTGATCTCAGACTCTCTGAGAAGAAAGGGCCCCTTCTGCGGCTCAAGGAAAGTCCGGAACACTGTACGGGATGACCTAAGATCTGGGATCTACGTTTTTTCATCCCGTGGACCACCGCCACCCACCGATAAGCCCTGCGATGGCCTCTGGAGAAGAGGCAGAGCCTCTAGTGTCCAAGAGTCAAATAAAAAGGTGCCCACACCCCCGTGTGAGTGTGCTAAGTGAGCATGTCCAAAGCGAGACAGAAAATGTGAAATGGAAGGAGGGCCAAGAATGCACTCAGAGGAGGGACGGCTTCTGCCCTCTGCACCCATGATTCTGGCAGCAGGCCCCACAGGAAGCCCACAGGAAGCCGCCTACCAGCCCTGCACACTGGGCGGAAACCAGCTCTGCCTCACCTGAGTCTCAGCCTTGAAGACGGTAACAGAACTCTGCACTGTAAATTATTTTATGGGATTGCACGACAGGATTGACCTAGAAATACTGTCTCAAGAAAAAGTTCCTCCAGAACTTCATTCAAGAGAACCAAAACCTGCAGCCTGGCGTCTACAGACCAGGGAAGGGATGTGACCCTCTACGCGAGGCATGCAGGGCGACAGGAATCACAGGGGCAGTACAGTACACAGTGTGGCCAGACGCAGGAGAGGACGCCTGGCCACCGTCGCTGATGTGTTAGACTACTGCCCGCTGGGGGAATGCAAGAGCAGATGCTGATTGGTTGTCTTGGCACAGGAAACACCAAAGCAAGGCGGCCGCCTGATAAAGACCGTCAAAAAGACGCCCTCCCTGCAATTTTGGCCTCTACTATCGTGTAGAAAATGTTGTATCCTCACCAAACCACTCCAGCTACAGAAAATCCCCCAAATAAATACATTCAAAAAGATAAGAGTATAAGAAAGCCCAAGATTACTATTTGGCAAAACATCTGCAAAATTACCTAATCAAACTACACCTACTGCAACTTCAAAGAAAAATAATACAACATTTTGATGGGGCACCTAATCCTGCATTCAACTCTCCCTGGTAAAAGCAAAATTCCAAAGACACCGGCTCAACATACAAAAGCGTTGCCCCGTGTGACCAACATTTGCTAGAAACAATGTCCGGGAGGCCACACACTCTTTGGCGACCACTGGGGAAACAGCAGTGGCGAGAACCTCCACAAGGGCAAACGAGCGAAACCCAGAGGCAGAGCCTGGCCAGGAGCGACATGTTCCAAACCCGGGCACGTGCTCTGGATCCGAAACCTCTAGCAGAGGACTGTGCAGAGAGATGAGCCACAGGACCCTCAGCGGGAACATGGTGGTCAGCACCGAGGGGTGCCGTGAAGAGCGGCCGCCCCAAGCGCTCTCATCTGGAGGCCGGCTCTGTTTGAAATATAACTTCCCCTTAAGGAATTTAAAGTAATTCTCACAATCTACAGCAGCCTGGTCAGTGACATGAGGAGTACTGGAGTTAGCAATGAAAACAGGTAAGTGAAAAAAGCAAGTTAGTTTTCTGCCACATTAATCCTAATATTAAAATAAAACCAGGTTACGGATTATGGCTCATGGCTCTAAGTAACCAGGACACTCAATCAGCATTTCAGTGCTCAAAGTGAAGCCAAACAGCTTTCATGGGTCCCTACAGAGAAGAAAATGACCACTTCAAACAAGTAACAGACTCCGTTGTTAGCAGAAGGTAAGCACTTACAAAAAGCTTAATTCATACTTAATCTGAGAAAAGGACAGTGTCTAGCACGTGAGCCAGAGGAAACGGCAGGACAGCAGTCCTGCTGGGCACCGGGGCCAGGCGGCCTCCCGGCGACAGAGCAGCGCCCGCCTGAGCACGCCAGGGCTGTGTACTGTACTTACCCCGTTCCACTCTACGCTCATACTCACTTCCTCCCCTCCGTCAGGGCCGCTCTCGTACTTGACCACGTCCACGTTCAGACTCTCCCGGCTCCTCCGCTTCTCCATGTTCTCGGGGTCATTCAGCACTTCGGCTACTCTCTGTTTGTGAACATTGTCAAGACCCTGTGAGCCAGGCAAGGGGGGAAGGGTTGGAGCCGTTAGAAGGAAGCTTGACGGAGGACTTCGAGGACAGCTGAGCTTCTCCCGGGGAAGAAACACCCAGAAACAGCACTTAAACACAGAAGAGTGATTCTCAGAAATATACACTTAAGACATCTCACTCTTCACAGAGCTTACCTCAAATTTAAAAAAACAGCAAATACGGGGCCCCCGTGAGCGATGTGCACACGTAAGTATTCGCAAGGAAACGCTGTGCCCAGAACAGGCCCGGTGGACAGAGCAGTGGGGGTGTCGTGCCCGAGAGCAACCAACATCCACAACGGGATCGGGAGGCAGGCGTGCAAGCGTGCAATTCCCTCCACTTCTCTGCTCGCCAAGCCTCGCGGAAGGATGCTGGGAAACACTCCCACCAGGGAGTGAGGAGAGCAGCAAGCCCTCGCCTCATTTCGGCAGGGAGGGCCCCACGCACACGCGGGCTAAACATCCCCGCACCACCAACATGGCCGGACTGTTCTCCGCGCGCATTTCAGTTCGAAAGACCCAGACGCGACACGTTCCCTCTTCTAAGTGGGATTTTAACCCCAGCAGCTCCTGCAAATGTGACACCTGCACCGACTTTCCGAGTTTCCTCCCCAACAGGCACACACCTCAAGCAGACGCCGTGCCGCTGGGACTCTGACAGTCAGGCAGACGTGGCCCCTCAGCCGGCAGGAGGGCATCATTCCCGGTAAAGCATGGCCAACCCCTTCCTTTAAATTCCTGCAACTACTGGCCCCAGACTTGGCTCACTAGATGCACACTATCCCGGCACTTGAGAACGAAGCCCGGATTACTGGCAAGGCTCCTGAAGATGAGCGGTGGGCACACCCTCAGGCCAGGCTGAGCACCAGGACGGCCTACGCCACCCGGCTTCCCCAGCACGGCCCGCACACAGCCGGGCCCCCAGGAGGCTGCCGACGCCACAGGGCGCTCTCCCCCACGCAGCCCTCTAGAGCCCGAGGACCCCCCGAAGGGTGACAGACCTGAAGAAAGGGGCACGGGCGGGAGACAGCATTGCTACCGGGTCTGCCCTCATCACTCTGCACAGATTCTTTTGAAAGAAAAGAGCTCTCAGGCATATATGGGCTATTTTAATCTCAGACAAAAAGTGGCCATAAACAAGCACACGATGACCGACATACATACCACGGAGGAAAGGGAAAAACTCACACCTGCCTCTCCGATCCTCCAAAGAGAAACCGAAACCGAAAAGAAACCCCCTTTAGGTAGTCTCGCCTGCTGGTGCGCGCGCGCAGAGTAGTGGATTATGGCTCATGGCTCGTCACCAGGCAGCCTCCCCGCTACGGGGCAGCAAGCACGCCGTTCCCGAGCTTCCACAGACGGCATCTCAGCCCAAGTCCGACCTCGCAGCGGACTGCTGAGTGCGCAGTGACCGCACCAGCCCACAAGAGCCCACCGGCGGCACACGGGGATCCCGCCGCTCCGTCCTGCCCTCACACCTGCTACTTCCTGTCCGCTTTGGACTCGCGCCGTCCCCGCCTCTGGCTGTGAAGTGGTCGGATCTGCACGTCCCTGCTGACGAGGGACGCGGAGCGTCTCTTCACACGCGTGTGGGCATTCGTGTGCCGTCAGCAGAGAAACGTCTATCCAGCTCCGTCGCTCATTTCTAAACTAGGAGATCCTTCTATCTTTACACATTCTGGGTACTAGGTCCTCATCGGATGTGATCTGCAAATACTCCCACCCATTTCTGTGGGGGTCTTCACCTTCCTGTGTCCTAAGTGCACCAACATTTCTAATTCATGCTGGTGAATCTAACTGATCCAGTTTTTCTTCTGCGGCTTGTGCTTTTGGTGTTACAGTTAAGCCTTTTAAACAATATAACTTTCCTTGCGCAAACTAAAATATTTTGTTTCTAAATCAAGCTTTTGACAAGTCATATAAAAGAGAGTCATTACCCTCGAAGGCCCAACAGGTGAGTTTAAAAACAGAAGCAGGTCACTGACCTGTTTACGGGACCTCATGGCGGCTTCCTCCAATGTCTCTGCAGCCTCAAACTTGCCTTGACGTCTGTAAAGTGCCCCGAGGTTTTTCAAAGTAGTTGTAACAGTTGGACTGTAAGAAAGCGTAAGATACACAGACTTATTAAATACAAGTTTTAGAACTACTATTAACCGCACAAAATCTAAAGCACTGACAAACATGTTTGCGAGAAGTATTTTTTAAATTTCTACAGTACTTTTTTAAACTATAAAATTCCATTAAGTTCTTTTTTTTTTTTTTTTTAAGCAGGCTCCACGCCCAGCATGGAGCTCAACTTGGGACTTGAACTCAAGACCCTGAGATCAAGAGCTGAGCTGAGATAAAGAGTTGGATACTTAACTAACTGAGCACCCAGGCGTCCCTCTGAAAAGTTCTTCTCTCCCAAAGGACCACCTGCCTACTTTTCAGCAGTGGGGCTGCCCCCGACACTCCCGCGGAGCCTTCTGCAGGACCAGGGCCCGCTGCGCTGAGCCCCGCAGCCAGCACGACATGCTCGTGTGCTCTCTGCAGGCCGCAGCCGCTCTCACCATCCGCCAGCCCGTCAACAGAAGCGTGTGTGCTGGGTCTGAGGACCATCGTGCCTGCCCCGGAGCAGAGCTGCTCTGTCGCTGGGCAGTAAAGAGGACGCGGTGTCTGATGCTGCTCTACACCTCCCCCTGTCCACAAGCAGAGGGGAAGCAGAGCAAGCGCAAAGGGCCGGAGGCAGGCGAGCGCCACACATGTGAAGAGTGAACAGCGTGCATGGGGATGGGCGCTGCTGCACTCCTCAGAGCAATCTTAGAAAAAGCTAGAAATAAACCTAAAAATACACCTAGGTGCTTTTCACATACATGCGTCCTTCCACAGTTCTTTTTCTTGTTCATGACAAGCGCTTACGGCACAGAAATAAAGAAGCTATACCCCAGGTCTCTGAGACATTTACGTAGCAATGGAAAACATAAAGCCTATAAATTTCGGATCTTATGCTAAGTGCTATGGGGAACCCAGAAGAGGGTTCAGAGAACTTTCCGAGAACAGGTGACCAGTAGACTGGTCTTCTAGGGGAAGTTACAGTTATGAGGGGGAAAAGTCTGCCAGGAAGGTGTTCAAGTCGGGAGACGAAACAGAGGTGCGGGCAGCGCAGGCTCACAGGGGAGGGTCTCACACTGCCCCCTGCAGCCGCACAGTCCCCAGAGGTGCCAAGGGCTGCAAGGAGAGGAGTGGGGGTCTGCCGTGTGCCAGACACGTGACTGCAGAGTCCTGCAGAGTCCGGCCGTCTCCAGAGTCTGCTCCAAGGCCACCCTGCATACATACTGGCTTCCTACTTCGTTACCTCCTCCTCCTGCGCTTTGGCAGCTGGCCTCGGGCAGAGCCGTGGTACTGGACCGAAGCCGAATTTCACCAACACTGCAGTGAGTTCTGTGTAGGTACATGACCTCATTACGAAGTTACGGGTTTCCTGACTGGAACCTGAGAACAACGTGGGAGACTGTGCACACGAACCACCTGAAGGAACTTTCTACGTTCAGTCATTTACAAGGTGACCTTAAAGCACGAGCACCTTCCAGGACAGTTCTGTTTCTTCAGTCCAAAAGACATACCTACTGGGGCGCCTGGGTGGCTCAGTCGGCTAAGCGTCCAACTCTTGATTTCAGCTCAGGTCATGATCTCAGGGTCGTGAGATCGAGCCCTGTGTTAGGGTCTGCGCTCAGCATGGAGTCTGTCCTTCCCTCCTTGTCTGCCTCTCCCCCTGCTCACTTGCTTGCTCTTGCTCTATCTAATCTAAAATATATAAAAAAATTTTTTTTTTTTTCAGATTTTACTTCTTTGAGAGAGAGAGCCTAAGAAGGGGGAGGGTCAGAGAGAGAAGCAAACTCCCTGCCGAGCAGGGTCTCTCGGCTCCAGGATCATGACTCGAGCTGAAGGTAGTTGCTTTACCAACTGAGCCACCCAAGCGCCCCACAAAATAAGTAAAATTTTTTATAAAGAAAAAAAAGACATACCTATCAACTTTGCAGGCTTTGTACCAGCCGCCATACTCTCCAAAAGATGTCCCGTCCTTTTGCTTTCCCTAAATCATAACAAATGAATATTTACCTTAAAAACAATATAACCAGTTTAGAAAACCTCTCAAAATAGTATATTCTTACTTTGCTTTCTTCTCTTTCTTCAGCGTGCATCCAAATGGGTTTATTTTCATCTAGGGGAGAAAAAATACCATACTATGAAAGTGCAGCATGACAGAGCCCACGAGCAGAGGCTGTCGAGTTTCAGCGACTGCCAAGTTCTCGTTTCTCATGTGAGCCTCCTTAGGCATTAGTTTTTAGGACCTGGACAGAGGAAGTTCACGGTGGAGCCTACGAGGGCGGAAGAAACAAGCAGATGGCCGTCCACGTGCAGCACTGTGAACACACACACACAGACACACAATCCCATGTACCCACGCAGGGCAGGCAGCTGTCAAAGAAGTGGACAAATACGCCGGGGCCCCTAAAATGCTCACACACCGCTGGGGGGTGCTCCAAACTCCAGAACGCCAGCATTAAACAGGGGCTAAGAGAAGGGTAAGTTGCTGGGAGCAGAGCGGAGAAAGATACTGATCAATATTCTCTTAAAGTCGTCTTAACTTTTGAGAACCTTAACCATGACACTCCGTAAGTTTCTACACGACCAGCGTGCCCACACCACGGAGCACAAGCAAGCTCAAAGTGAAGTTTCTGACAAATTTTCCTGATAGGGAAAAATGCCTGAGGGGCAAGTATGAAGGAAGATAAGTAAACATGACTGTAAGTGAAGTATGGCTTAAGCACATAAACCAACCAGCACAGAAAGAAAGACACTACAAAGGTTAGGTGTATCTGGGTGCTGGAATCACGGGTGACTTTCACATGCCCTCTCTGCGTGAACTTTCAAGGATTCCTGCTACAAGCACCGATCTCAAGTTCCAGAGGAAGAAACCGGTGCTCACACCATCCTCACTGACGACCAGACCTCGGACAAGCGACTTCGGCTACCGCGTCCTCACTCCTGAAATTCACCGGACTGTTCGGAAAAGGAAACACGCCCACACACTGAGACTGCCTCCTGGGAAGACCAGTCCACGGCTCCTCGTGTGATCAGGACTCGCCACGTCACAGGAGAAAGCTGAAACCCGATTCCAATACCGGCTTTAGGAGAGCGAACGGTATCTGAGGCCTACGAACAGCACGGAGCGCAGTCGGAGCTATCGAGTGACGCGAACCGCTACGGCAGCCAGCCCGCAGCGAGCTAAGGGCGCACGGGCGGGGACCCCAAGAGTGACGCCGGTGCGCGGGCGCACCATGACCAGCAGGCCCGGGAGCCTGAAGGGCACCCGCGGACGGCAGCAGGACACATCTGCACCTTGTGTCCTGCATGTGACATCTGTACGGAGGGCAAACACAGGAAAGCCGCTTTCACTAGAACTCAACTGGACTCTATGCTTTTGTTTTTAGAAAAGAAGCCAGCGAATCTTATGGAAACAAGTAGCCCCCAAGAACAGAGCTTTTTTTAAAAGGCATCAAGGAAATGCCCTGGAATCACTACACAATGCACCGGCCTCTGCGGCTGGGGGCGGGCTGTTGCTCCCACCCACGATTCCCGCGCTGAGCCCGCAGCCTCCTGTGCACGGAGAGTAAAAAGGACCTACTGTTCCACTTAGTGAAGGAGGGAAAAAAACTAATACACTCCAAAGACTTTTCCCAAGTGGTTTCTAGAAACTCTCTATAAACGAAAACATTTATTAAGCAAAACCGCTTTCCCTGTGCAGCCTCAGGTTTCCTGCACACCAGTAACAACACTCCTCATTCCCCAACGCCTTATGGAACACCTGACGCAGGGGGGAAATGCCTTACTTAACACACAAATAAAACTGTTGCATTAAACATTTTAAATCTTTTAAAATATTTATCCCAAAACTGTATATTAAGTACCCACAGCACTTTAAGGAATATGGAGACAGGCCTTGGCTCTTTTAGACAGTCAAATAACCCAGCAGGCCTGGGATGGAGTCAACCGTTTGCATTTCCAACAGGTCCCACGTGGTGCTGATGCTACTGTCCCTGCTGGCACTGGGAGAACCAGGATAACAGTAAATCCACAGAGCACTGATGCCTCCGGAGAGGTTTTCTGGGGTCAGTGCTCTGAGTTGTGCAAGAGCAAAGCCTGGACTCCGGAGAGGGCAATGCAGAAAGACGGGGGGGCAGCTGGCCCATCACCCCTGACCACAAGGCACGCGACCCACTGAGTACCTGGTGACCACGTGTGTTCACTGGATGTCAGATGAACGAATGAATGAGCCCATGACACTCAGACTGTGTCACATCCTCTCCTCTAAGTGCTATTGGCAAAATCATTTCTAAAATTCAATTAAATTCTACCTTGAAAATGAGACGATGACTTGGGTAATACCGAGTTCCAGCTGGGAATCACCATTTTTAATGCACGCGAACAACCGTGTCTGCTCAGAAGCGAAAGCAGGGAGGGTCCTTACCATCTACAGAGCCAAACTCCCTTTCGTGTGCACGAGTGAGAATCTCTTTGTACAGTGTTTCTGCTTGCTTGAATTTTCCTTGCTTCAGATAGCAGGATGCCTTAAAATAAAATAAAGTACTTAGTAACTTCATATGTAGAGAAGACACATTCCTGTCTACAGGTTAAGTGACACAAAGCTCAGAGGTCAAAAGGGCAGCATTGGGGCTCTACCTACAGAGGGCACTTCTGTCCACATACCAGGTTATTTTTTGTTTTGGCCACATTGGGGTCATCAGGCCCCAGTTTTGTTTGGTAGATCTCAAGGGCTCTTTGATAATAATATTCTACTTCCTCGTACTTGCCCTGATTCTGGCACAGTAAGGCCAAGTTATTTAACTGCTTGGCAACATCGGGGTGATCCTTTCCCAAAACCTGCGAAGAAAAAAGAGTATATTAGAAGCATCAATTTGTTTTAGTGCCATCCAGTCTGTTCTCCAACCACTACGAGAAGGGTCCTTTCTCAACACAACCATGGCTGTGCCCACCGTCCAGGCCCACAGTCCCGCGCTATACACAAAGAAAAAAAACCAGACGGGCGCCTGGGTGGCTCAGTCATTAAGCGGCTGCCTTCAGCTCAGGTCATGATCCCAAGGTCTTGGGATGGAGTCCCATATTGGGCTCCCTGCTCAGTGGGGAGCCTGCTTCTCCCTCTGCCTCTGCCCCTGTTTCCTCTACTTGGGCTCTCTGTCAAATAAATGAATAAAATCTTTAAAAAAAAAAGAAAAGAAAAGAAAGGAAAAGAAAAGAAAAGGAAAGAAAAGAAAAGAAAAACAGCCAGAACTCATACCCTTGCTGGGTAAAAAGAGATGTACTGATTTCCCTACACACTCTCAGCCTTTCATCCTTACCGTAACCCCACGCGGGGGCTGGCACAGGTACCATTAGAACTCACGGCCTGAAACTAGGAAATGGCTGTATAAAAATTATAACGATATGACGCCCAAGTTCTGGAAGAGCCCTTTCTGGCCCGAGCTATGGCACCAGACTCTCTCCTACGCATGCAAACCTTCGAAGGGAATCTCCAGCTCTCGAATTCAGCCTGCACATCCCTTCCTGCTAAGGCCTGAAGGTCCTTCGCACCCACTCAAAATACAGCCCTTGTATTTCAAACTCCACCTTCAGGGCTCCTGGAGCGTCCATCCCACATGCCTGGTGCCCTTCTCCCAGGCCCCCCTACCCCCCACTAACTGCTCAACCCTCAGAGGGGACACCTCCTTCCATCCAGTTCAAGGGAGCCTCAGCCCGTCTCCGCCCGGGTTAACTCACGGGCACCCTGGTTGCTCTTTCTTTGCAAGTATCACCACCCGAAACGATCTTATTTACCTGTGTAGTCCGGCATTGCCCAGTGTATGTAATGTGAGCCACGACAGTACAAATTCTATCTCCTACACCAGCGTAACCCCAGTACCTAGAAGAGTGTTGACTCACAGATGAATAAATACTAAACCACCTCCCTACTACCTTGAAAAACCATTCATTCTCTTAACCTCGTGCCCCCACCGATGTCCCCAGTGCGGCATGCCGCCTGCCCATCGCGCTCTGCATGCCCTCCCCCGCCCTGCCTGGGGGACTTACGTTAAGACCCAGTTCCAACACTCAGCACTTGTGGGAAGCCGTCCCCGGTGCACCCGCACACCCTGGGCTTGCAGGAGTCCCTGCTCTGCACGCTTCCAGAGCTCTAACCCGGAAGCCAGGGCAGCCGAGCCCCATGCAAGGAGCAGGCCCACCAGCTCTCACCGACCAGAACGCTCCACACGCGTGACGACGTGAGTGAACGAAAGCAACTGCGCATGAATAAACCCAGCAGTGACTGAACAGAGCTCATGGACCCTCACCGGGTACTTACGGGTTCTCCTCGACTTCACCCCAGTCCGCTCAAAATCTGACCATTTTAACTCATAGGTATCATGCAGATGGTGGCATGAGAAAAGTTTTCCTGTATAATTTGATGAGGTGCCCCTTTTATTTCCCCTTTCCCAATTTCACCATACGGCCAAAAATTAAATGACCTTGCAGTATCACTGGTAAATAATCACAGAAAATATCAATTTAAAATACTACCCCTGGTCATTCATGGCCTGGACCTAACACCAGAGCCCCCTGCCTGCTGAGATTACCAAGCCACGGTTCCCCAACACCTAATTGGCACAGGCTGCAGCCGCTGGACTAATACCCAGGACAGCGATGGAATGTGTACTTCCCAGCCAAACTTTAGTTCTGAAAATCACTTCATTTTTTAAGCTTTATAAGCGTATTTGGTGACTTCATTTTTCAATTTCAATGTTTTTCTTATCCACAAGCACATGCCCCACTGTCAAACGGTAGATGCCCTCCACATCCAGTCCTCAGGGGCTCCTCCTCCTGCAGTCACTTCTAGGCCGCATCAGGCAGGCAGGGCACGAAAACCGAACCCACTCCCCCAACCCTTTTTTTTTTATTTTTTTAAGATTTCTTTGTTTTTGAGATCGAGAGAACAGCATGTGCGCAGGAGCGGGAAGGGCAGAGAATCGCAAGCAGACTGAGCACAGAGCCCGATGTAGGGCTCGATCTCCCGACCCTGAGATCACGACCTGAGCCAAAACCAAGAGCGGACACTTAAGGACTGCACCACGCAGTGTCCCTGAACACCCACTCACTCCTTTTGAACCCCAGTCTGAGTGGGCCGTCCGCCTCAGCCTTTACCAGGTGAGTTACTTCCAGGAAATGGTCAGTCACAACGTACCACAGGGGTCACTCCTCAAAACACAAAACCTGGAATACCCAGAAAGCACAAACGCGGCCTCTCAAGATGAGCGCGCGCCCTTGCCCGCACCTTCTCTCGGATCTCCAGCGCTCTCTTACACAGCGGTTCGGCCTCCTTGTACTTCCCTCTCTTGCCGTAAAGCACCGCAAGGTTATTCAGAGTCGCCGCCACCTGCCAACGGAGGGACGAGCAGAGACCGGTCAGCAGCGGTAGCGGCAGGACCTCAGTCTCACGCGCTCAGCGACGTGCTCTCCACGGAGCGAGGGGCAGGACTTCGGTGAAAAGCAAAGGGCAGTTCACAACACGCTACAGGTTACACTAAGTGAACCGGAGACACTAAAATTAAACAATCAACACCGTGATCTTGATTTTTTTTTTTTTTTAAAATTTCACTGGAAGCCACAAAGCCAACCCAAACACAGATCTGCTTGCAAATCTGGCCAGATTTTAAGAAAAATATAAATTCTTTAGAAAAAAATTTAGAGAAGTACATGCAATTTGATTTCGGATAAAAAAATACAGTACGTGATCCACGGGCAGCAGTGGTGATGAACAGATTAGCGTGCACGCGCACAGGCCGAGCATCAGAGCCTCCAGGGCCGGAGCTCAGCGCGGGGACTGAGCGAGTGAGGACTCCTACCTGCACCTCTAGTCAAAGGGCAGCTCTTAAATCTTCCCTGTTGAGTTTAATATTAAAATGAGTTGGGTTAAAAAAAAAATTAGGGAAAATGAAATATAAAAAGGAAAGAGCCAGATATACAAACCGCAGGATGATCTTTGCCCAAAGTCTTCTCGCGGATAGCCAAGGCATCGTTCAGCAGATTAGCGGCATCTTTGTATTTATTCTGGTCTCTACATTGAAAAGCACACGTTAAGTGTTTTGGATATAACTTATGTCTTTTTTAAAATGCAATTTTGAAACTACAGAAATAAAAGTTAAACTTGAGCTATTTAAAAAATAAAAGTCCACTATTAAAATGATCAGAAATACCGCCAGTGTAGAAGAAAAAGATCCCACCAATGAACAGGAACTTGGAATCAGACCCAATTAGCTCTGGAACCTGGCCCTCCCTTCCAGGTTTCGGGGACGACACTGCCCCCACACCACAGCACTGTACTGCAGAGTATGGGAGCCAGTCCAGAAGGCCGGGCAGAGCTTCACCTGCTACCAGACAGAACTGATCCCAGGGTTCGATCCCAGGCTCTGCCAGCTAAGGCCTGCAAGGCCTTGGGACATTAAGCAGCCCCCCACAGTCCCAGTCAACCCGTCTAGAAAGTGTCTTACCTAACTCACAGAGTTGCTCTAAAAAGCTAATGATATGCTGTGCGTATCATGCAAAACCTTGTTAAAAATAAATACGTCACAGCGTGTCCACCTGGGACACACCTTCCCACTGTGTGCTTGAGGAAGGAGGGAGGCGGCGGCTCCTGACTGCAGTAAGACAGAAGCCCAGCCCCAGCCTCTGCCCCCCTTGCTTTGGTACCGACAACGTGATCACAGAAGTTACTCGCTCCATGAGACCAGCACACGTGCTCCTTAACTGTGTCTAAGAGCTGCCAGGCAAGGCTTTGCCCTGCAGAAGCCAGACTCCCCTGCAGGATACGCAAAGGGTCAGCGCACCCACAGAACCTCTGAAGCTAACTCTGGCCGAGGGTACTGAGGTTGTTTTCTCCCAATACCCCACAACACACGACAAACTGGCTCAAACATTTTGTGAAAATCAGCAGGTATGACAGAAAGTCTTGAGAACTACTAGAGACACTTAAAACCAGTTAACAAGAACTACCTAAAAGCCTGTGTAAGCTAAAAGAGGCAAGGGGTACCGAGCACTTTTCCAAACTGTAGCAGGCCCTAAAATGTCAGCAGCTATTAATTAATTAGCCAAAGCAAGAGGACACCAAGACCAACAGCACTGGTTCCCAGGCGTGGCCCCAAACCCACGACCGTCGCCCTCAGCCGGAACACAAAGAAACCAGCCGCGCCCCAAGAACTCTGGTGCTGGGGCCTGCACTCAACTGACCAGGAAATTCAAACTGAAAATGAAAACAGAAGTTATACCACCGCACGCAGGAAAAGCCTAACAGAAAAATGCGCAAGATTATGGAAGAGTCACAGAAGGACACAAATGACTAAAAATATCCAACCAGGGAAGCACGAAGGCAACCACAAGGCTGTGCTTCCCGTTACCGAAGCGCGGGGACAAGCCTCGCCGCCGGCCGGGAAACGCGGCTAGAGCAGGAGAGGGAAAGGGGACGCCCCCGGCCTGAGGAGTGTGGCCACAGGTACCAGGCGTAGACTGTGCAGACGCTAACCCGCTGCAGGAACCGATTCTCAAAAAAGCCAAAATCTCAGATAAAACTTCTAAAGACGTTTATCAGTATGTTATGCTCTTCCCCCAAAGAGTTAAAATTAAACTGCCCTAACACAAGAAAGCGGAGAAGGTTACAGGCCAGCCCCGGGGTGCAGTCCTGAACAAGAATGTGAACGTGCAGACGGCTTTGCACTTGTTTCTGACTTCTGACTGACCGAACCCCTCGGCCAGAGCACGAAGGGAAACGCCAGACTGCAGCGAGGCCCGGAAATTCCCGCTGCCTGACACTGTAAACAAGGAAGCAGCACGCCTACAACCCACAACAGAAACCCTACGTGCATTTTTTTATTTAACTCATTTATAATAGTAATGTCCATTGTTGGCCAAAAGTCTTCATGTTACCACACACAAATTGCTCTAAGCTTCATTTATTTGAATGACCCCTACTCCCAACACGGGGTTCGAACTCACGACCCTGAGATCAGGAGTCGGATGCTCTACTGACTGAGCCAGCCAGCGCCCCAGTGCAGACACATTTTTAAAACTTTGGGATGAAAGTGGCATCATCCGTCAAGATTTTAAATGTAAATCCCCGAGTCCCTACGCTACGTTAACAGTGAAGATCTGCGAACCACCTCAACGTCCACCCACAGGGCAGCTCAGAAAGGTCCAGACTACCCGCGAGAGCGCACTACGCTGCCCAGAAGACCTCGGCTGACCACGGCCAGGGCTGCGGACATGCTGTGAAAGGCCGCTTGCTTTCTGGTGTTGTTTTGTTTTGTGAAGAAATCACTCATCTCTATGAATGGCTGCAACAGTTTGTTTCTCTTCCCTGAGCCCCTCTCTGTCCTCTCCCTCTGCACCGTTCCCATCCCTGCTCAGACCCCAGCTCCATATCCCTAGGATCCTGCCCTGCCTCCAGGCCCCAGTCACCACACCCTCCTACGCACAAGGCCAAAGAGACTCTGGCGACACCCGAGCAGGGGCCCACTGCTCCCCACCAGCACCCCGCAGCACTGCCCGCAGGACCTCCGCGGTCAGGCCCTGCTTCTCCCTGCCCCATCTCTTACCGCTGTCCTTCAGGTGCCGTCAAGCTTTGCCAGCGAGGTTCAGGAGTAAGCCCCAAACACACCCAACACCGCACACCATCTCCGCGTGCTAAAATGCCACCCGCCCTCCGAGGCCCGGCCGAGCGCTGCTCCCGCCCTTCCGTTAATCCTTCCCTTAGCCCCTCAACTGGAAGGAATCTTCCTGCTGCATGAGAACTTTTGTGTTATTCTATTAGCAGAACCCGGTCTCCTGCTCCTATAACTGCACACGAATGTAAAGAGCCTCTCTTCGACACGAGGCTGTCAGTTCCTTGAGAACGTCCTGTGAGCGTTTCCCGTCTGCCAGGCAACCGTACGCGTCACATGCCCCCAGTCCTCCCCTGGACCTCTGAGTGGACAGTACAACGGCCTCCATTTCAGATATAAGAAAACTGAGGCTCAGGAAAGCTAAGGGCTCTGGACAACATCCTCTGTCTTGTGGCCATCTAGCAGAGACAGAACCTGAATTCTCCGGACTTGAAATTCAATGTCCTGCTTTCTCCGAGGGCAGGAACCATACACTCACTCATCTCTAGGGCCCCACGGAAGCAGCCGAGTCTGACCCATACTTGGGGGACAAAAATGTCAAATGGGCACAATCAAACCAGTGAAGAAACACCAATGTGCTCATCCCCACCCACAACACTGGAAGGGCTACAGGAAACCGATCCTGCTGTGCAAAGAACCACTCCCTTCTCCGTCCCGACTCACTGCAGCTGAGTTCAGCTGAAAGACACACACAAAAGACTCCAACACATCACTCCCTGTGCCACAGGGAAAATTCCTTAGTTCCCTTCAAGGTGTTCACCAAGGGCTCCTGAGGGAGGAAGCACGCTAGCGTGAGGTGAGAGGTGCGGACAGGACACAAGCTGGTCCCCAACTTTCAGGGACACTGTTCTGGGAGAAGACAGAACAAAATTCAAAGAACCCCAACGCCAAGCACAGTGAGAAGTGCCAGAGAAGAGGCAAGGGTTAAGGGCTCTGGGGGCACAACAGGGGCAAAGGGCAAGGGGGACCTGAGACTCAGAACGGGGAGAGAGCTAACAAGGCCCTAGAAGGGTGGGAAGGCTATTCCGGACAAAAGAAACGTGGTACACAGGACCTGGCGGAAAAAGGCAAGAGTTCAGTCTGGCCCGAGTGAAGGGCGCACGCGGGCTACTGCAGGCGGCCGACGGGGGTTGTTCCAGGCAGTCTGTGTCGCGCAGGGCGCTAACTCTGCCACAGAGCTGGCTCGGTTTTTTGAATTTAACCCCACGGCTGTGTGAAGAGACGTGACAATGAAGCCAGCAAAGCAGGCTTCTACAGGTTTACAGAAACGTACTTCAAACCCTCCAAGTTCATCAGAAATACCGTGGGTAGAGAAAACAAGGGCAGAGAATGAGTACTAGCCTGTACACCAAGGCCAGGATGTTCAGCATGGTGGCCACATCCGGGTGGTCGTGGCCGGACGTCTTCTCCAGGTCCTCCAGGGCCTGCTTGCAGAGCGGCACAGCCACCTCGTAGCGCCCCTGCGAGGCGTACTGGATGACCAGGTTGTGGAGCGTGCGCAGCCGCGCCGGGATCTCGTAGCCGCCCTGCTGTGCGGCCGCCGCCGCACTGCTGTGCTGCTGCTGGACTGCACACAAGGAACAGGAGCCAGGCGACAGCGTCAGTCAGACCCCTCCTCCCCAGCTCCGGTCTCGGGGGACGCCTGGCCCCCACGCTGCGCAAACACGAGCTGCGCTGCCCCGGCGGGCGGGGGGGCCGCGAGTCACGTGTCGAGGTGGTGTGATGCCCCCAACAGTGCAGGGAGGCTCCCCTCAGCACCCGACCAACTCTGCCTGTCTCCCTCTGCAAGAATGCACACACTGCACGCGAACTGCTGGTTCGGGCCCCAGGTTCGTCGTAGAGGCTGGTCCAACATCTACTGTGTCCCGGTAAGAAACACCTAAAGTTGTCTTGGGAAATGCTGGATGACCACTGTGCACGTGCCTCTGGGAAGAAGCTACCGGCACCAGGATGCCCACTAATTATGGCCATCACATCAGGACAGGACAAGCCACCTTCTGTTTGTACATGCTGCCATGTGACCGCTCCCCCTCGCCAACTTACTTCCTTGACCGGGATCGTCGTCATCATTTGGGAAAAGGTCATCCAGAGGCTCTTTGGTGGAATCAGTGTCTTTGTCCTCCTGTAAAACCAATCCGGAAGAACTTCAGCCTCACCAGTACTACAAATCCTGCACCAGAAATCCTTCAGACAAATATCAGTTTAACAAAACAATCTCAGAAAGGATAACCGGTTTTAAAAATCAAATATAGGGACGTCTGGGTGGCTGTCGGTGGAGACTGCCTTCCGCTTGGGTCATGATCCCAGAGTCCTGGATTGGCAGGGGGTCTGCTTCTCCCTCTGCCCCTCACCCTGCTCCTGCTCTCTCGGTCTCTCCTTCTCTCTCAATAAATAAATAAAATTGTTAAAAATAAAGTAAATAAAATATGAGATTAACCACAATTTGGCTTATCTACCGATTTAGGAGAGAGTACTAAAGAGCCTGCTAGACTAGAACTCAAACCCGAGATGCAGACCACAGGGCAGCCGACGACCATGACGGCATCTCTATGCCTCAGGTTCTTCACAACATTCTGAGAAGTTCAAATACAGCAGGGAAACTCTTCCTTGAAATAAATCTTATTTGGAAACCAAATATGTAAAAACAGACTAAAATGGCCCATCACCGAACACCACAGAACTGGAGGGCTCAAGTCCCCCTTCCCTGCACACCAGCACCACAGGACTCCTAAGAGCAACCTAAAACCTGCCAGCTTTTTTGTTCTAAGATTTTATTTACTTATTTACTGGAAGAGAAAGAGAATCCAGCATAGGCTCCACGACCAGTGCAGAGCCCAGTGCAGGGCTGGATCCCTTGCCTAAGATCCCCTGAGCCCATGACCTGACCCAAAAGCAAGAATCAGACACCCAACCAACTGAGCCACCAGGTGCCCCGGAAACCTGCTGGCTTTAAGTCTGTGCCTCGAGTCTCCCCACAGATCCCTGATTAGTGCAGGGATAAAAACCACGACGACACAATGGGAGAGAACAGACAACAGCCTGACCAAGTGGGAAGTCAGCATCATCCTCCCTTGCCTCTGGAAGGGGTCACGTGAGACGTACACAGACTCATCCTGATACTACTCCTGTATGGGACGCATGATCTAAACAGAGAGAGACACATGAGACAAACCCAGACTGAGGAACCCACAAAGTAACTGACCCGTGTACTCTTCAAAACCATCTGTGTCGTGAAAGGCAGAGAAAAACTGTTCTCTCTTTTTGAAAAAGATCTGTTTCAGATGAAAGCCAGCCGAGGAGACGTGACAGCTGAGTGCCACATAGGGTCATAGACCAGCTCCTGGAATGGTGAAAGAAGGCCATGACGGGCTCTGCTGAGACGAGGAGGACACAGTGCAGACGAGCACCGTGTCCATGTGAAACTTCCAGACCAGAGCCGGCCCCGCCTGCACACGAGCACGTCCCCATGCCACGGAAACGCGCCCAGCAGCAGCCGGGGAGTGTGCCATGACCTGTGCTGCCTACTCCGATGCATTCAGAAGAAACCATCATCCAGGTACACCCCGAAAGGACGGGCAGAATTAGCTCTGTTAGCTCTCTTCTCCAAGCTCAGTATTTTCTCAAAATAACAAGTTTTAAAAGTCTCTGATTCAACAAAACCCTACAACATCACCCAGTATTCTAGGCGAATCACGGGCTGCCATCTGTAGCTCATTTATTCTTATTCCTACAGCAACCCACAGCAATACGTCTTCTAAATCAAAAGCAAGGGAGAATTACAGTCGGGCTAATAAAGCAAGGTGCTGTGGGCTAATGTGTCCCCCAAAAACCACAAACGGAAGCCCTCACCCTCCAGGTGACAGCATGTGGAGGTGGGCCTTTAGGAGGTAATGTGGGTCAGATGGAGTCACGGAGATGGGGCCACCACGATAGAGCTAGTCTCCTTAACGAAAAGGAAAAAAGACACTAGATACCTCCCTCTCTCTGCACGCACCAAGGAAGGCCACGTGAGGACACAACCAGGATAAAGGCCCTCACCAAGAACCCAACCGTGCCGACATCCTGACCTTGGAACTGTGGGAATAAGCCGCGTAACCATGGTATTCCGTCGCAATGGCCCAAGCTGATGAAGACCCGCACTCTGGCGATGGGAGATGTAACACGAGGAGAGTCTGGGTGAAGCATGTATGGAAATTCTCTTTACTATCTTTTCAATTTTTCTGTGAATCTAAAATTACTCCAAAATTTGTATTTAAAAAATTGTTTTTCAGTTAACTGAATCAGATATAAATGGATAAAAAAACAAGACCAAGAAGAACAGCTTGAGAGCCAAGAGAAAACAGAGAAAACCAAGCTCCTTCGGGAATATTCCAAACACACAGTAAGTGGGCAAGAGAGACCAACGAGGCGGCATGAGTGAGGCAGCAAGAGAACCAGGTAGAGTCCCAGCAGCAGGAGAAAGAGTTTCAGAGAGAAAGGTGTCCTCAGCACCACCGGCTACAGGGGGAGTCCCAAGTGTGGATTCTAGTCAACAGGATGGGATGCACACCGACCTGAGGAAAGTTCCAGCATCATGATGAGCTTGGAAGCCAGACTCAATGGGTTCTCAAGCGGGGAAAACCTCATGAGGTGCCTCTCTGCATCGTGCCTTACCCATACGAGGTTGTGTGCACATGTCTGACCACTGCGCTAAAACACACCTGTGAAAAGCATGTGACCTGCCCAGGGACTAAGCCCCAAGACCCATAACCTCTGGTGGCTCAACGCAATCATCAGAGAAGGGAAACACAGCTGGACTAAAGCAGCCGACAACATGGTCAGCTGTCAGCGCTGCGCTCCCACGGAGCCACTTACGGATGGGGAGATGTCGTCATCGTATTTCTTTAACTGATTCATGAACTCCAGGTGCTTCTTCTCCTCCTCCAGCTGAGCCACGGACTGCTCGCTCTTCTGCAGCTTCTGCTGCGTGTTGGCCAGCTCGTCCCGCAGCCACTGATTCTCCTGGCACAGCCGACGAACCTGTGCGCGCAGTTTCTGCTTCTCGGACTCCACAGCGTTCAGGTGGTTGGACAGAGCCATCATAACCTGGGGAGACAGAAACGCTGACGGTAGCCCCGCATCGGGCTCTCTGCTCAGCGGGGAGCCTGCTTCCCCCCTCTCTCTCTGCCTGCCTCTCTGCCTGCTTGTGATCTCTCTCTCTCTCTGTCAAATAAATAAATAAAATATTTAAAAGAAAAAAAGAAACGCTGACGGCCTGCAGCGTCCCTCCCATGCTTCTCACCCCCACCAACGCAGGCATCCTGGGCCTGCAGCTCTCGCTTCTTCTGCACACATGTGCTCTGACACAGACAGGTACAAATGCCAATGACTTCCCTTGTCACCCTCAGTCTCAGGCTACAGAGGGGGCCACGGTAAAGAATATCACGTGCTGGGGGCCTGGGTGGCTCAGTGGGTTAAGCCGCTGCCTTTGACTCGGGTCATGATCTCAGGGTCCTGGGATCGAGCCCCGCATCGGGCTCTCTGCTCAGCATGGAGCCTGCTTCCCCCTCTCTCTGCCTGCCTCTGTGCCTGCTTGTGATCTCTGTCAAATAAATAAATAAAATCTTAAAAAAAAAAAAAAAAGAGTATCACAAGCTCAGAACATCTACAGAAACTAGATGCTGTTCTTCTGTTTGACAGCATCTCAAATGGACCAGTGATGGACACACAGCTATTCTTCTGACAAGACTGTATGTTCTTTCCTTCTACCTAGGTGGCTCCAACATCATTTCTCAGAGGCGCTTCTCCATGTAAGAGTGTGTGCACAGACACGCACTGTGTACAGAGCGCCAGTCCCTCTACGAGGGGCAGGTGACACAGCTAAGGAAGGGCATGCAGACAAATCTTTGATGTTCCAAGGTAAGGGAAGAAATCTTTAGCTAGCCGCCTAATCAGAACACACTGGTGCATCCCTAAGCTTAGGGCCACGTCACAAAATCCGGTGACTGTCCCAGGACTCTGCCTGAGTGCACCAGACCTGCCTGAGGCATCAGCACGCCACTGGGAAATGTACAAGCAGAAACACCTGGGCAAAGCTGGCTCCAGTCTGTTCTCTCTTTAGACAACGCAATTGCCCTGCCCTCCACTATCCTCCTACCTTTCAGACCTAAACTCCAGAAGGTGAGACTCTTTCCTCCTCCTTTTCTTAACTCTAATATCTGCCCAACTAAAAAGGAAGTCCGTATTCACATCACTTTTCAGTAACAGAAAATGCCATATAATATATTACAATAACCAAGCAAAGTTAAAATTCTACAATGAGGTCTTTCACACAGTCAGGATGAAGAACTCTAAAATCAGGGTCTGGACGTTACTATGACAAACAGTGTTCTCTACATGAAAGTGGAAAACTAGTGACCCAGCAGCCCTATTCAGCTTTCATCTCTTACAAGTGGAAAGCTAAGGGGCACCTGGGGGGGAACAACAGGTTCAATGTCTGACTCTTGGTCTCAGCTCAGATCATAATCTCAGGGTCCCGGGATCGAGGCCTCCCCGCTCCCAACAGAATCTGCTCGAGATTCTCTTCCTCTCCCTCTGCCCCACCCAACGATGCATGCACTCTCTCAAATAAATAAATCTTTAAAAAAAAAAAAAAGAGGAAAGCTAAGAAGAAAGAAGCCAAATTTTACTATATGTGATTTTGCCTAAAATATGCTGGCAGAACCACACATTATCAAGGGGCAGGGCTACCACAAGAGGCTTCTTTTCTTTTCGGATTGACTGATCTTAGGGGGAAGGGTGACAGAAAGGGAGACTCTCAAGCAGACTCCCTGCAACGAAGCAGGGCTCGATCTCACTATGAGATCACAACCTGAGCTGAAACCAAGAGCTTGATGCTCAACCAACTGTGCCCCGCCCCCCAGATGTTTCTAATTTTTTCACCTCTATGTCCCGCATGATAAAAACAAAGGTTTAGTTAAATATATATAGCAATCTCGTCTTAGAGAACTGCAGAAACTATTAGCTGTTGGCCAATATCCATTCTCCCTTCTCCCTTAGGCCTAAGAATGTGGACCTTGAAGTAGGCAGAGCAACGTTCCCCAGGCTCCCTCACAACAGGGTGTGGCGACGGAACCATGGTCTGGCCAGTGAAATGTAAGCAGTGTTGTGCACCAGCTGGAGGAAGTAAAGGGAGGAGGTACACCCTTCCTGTCCTAGAATGGGGTCAGGTGGCTGAGGCTGGAGCTCCATCTTAGTCCACAAAAAAGACTGTGCACCGCAGTGCAGAGGCCTGTGTGTCCCTGACGACCACGCAGCTACACAACCCTTCCGGGCGCAGCCTACCTCGGTATTTCTTTATGTATGTCTACGATGTTTAAGCCACTGATTTCGTTTTTGGATACATGCAGCCAAATTAAATCCAAAATGACAAGGTTACCTCTATTTTGGCTCTGCTTTTTAAAATTTAGACATGCCCAAATCAATCATCATTTATATACTGTACAAGCTGGTCTCTGTTATCCTAGAAGTATCTTCCCTCTAGTTTCATTAAACCACGTACTTCAAAACAAAATCTCCGTTCTCTAGACTGTCAAGTTCCTATCCTTGTCGGACGTGACTTCATTCATACCTGTGCCTCACTCAGGCCAAGCTCCAACATTTCCAGAGACTTTCGGATCATGTTTGATTTTTCTTCCACCAGATTACTTTCATCATCTTTCTTCAAACACTTCAGTGTCTCAAGTAAACTTTGTAAGATGGAATTGTGCTCGTTCTTCAGAGCTTCCAGCCCCTGAATCACTTGCTTTGTCTTAGAAATAATCTCATCCTGTGTCAGCTTCTCCAACTTGTCTTCCTTTATATACACCATCGTGGACATGTTGTCGTACATTCTAGAATGGAGGAAGGAAAACAGATGAGGCATCTCATCACAGGTGTCATTTATGTTACACCTCTAATAAAATACACTGTGAAGACTTTTAGATTAACATTTTTATAGGTGAATAATAAATGTGTGTATCTGTGACTTGCTCAAATACTGTACTGTTTCTCTTTTCCCTCTGCAGACCAATTTAATTACTTTTCTGGCTTATGCCTGAATTCTTTTTAATGGGAAAAATGACAACACTTGAAATTAATGCCAAAGATTAAAAGCACCAAAACATTCAAATGGCATTTCTACAGCACAAAGCCTCAGTGAACAGGAGTTCTCTGAATGTCTGCAAGCTTTTTCCCCCTTAATGAAAAGTAGAAGGGACAGTAAATTCTTGGTAACATATTTACCAGAAAAAGCCTTGAGAAGTGGTCACAGTTGGAAGAAGGAAGAAAACCAGCAAAGGAACATGGGAACAACCAGAGTAGCAGGAGAAGGACTAGGTCCGTCTGAAACACGGCAAGAGAGTGGCGTGAGCAGGGGCCATCAGCACTGTAAAGACGCAAGGAGGAAGAGGGCTAGGCATGCCTATGGGATCCGACTAGCCGAGAGGCCACCAAATTCCAGTGTCTGGAACTGGCTTTAAAATAATAAAATGAGGAAGAAAAAGGAAAGGGGCATATAAAACTGTGTCAGCACACCCGTGACTGCCGAAACTAATAGGTCTTAAACCCCCTAATTAAGTTAAACAGAAGAAAAGGTCACGGTGAGCATGAAAGCGGCTCAGGAGACTGACGGCACTGAAGTCAGACTGCGGGTCAGCGTGACTCCCTTCAGAGCACTCAGCACTCCCCGAGGTCCCGTGTGCGGTCACGTGTCGTTCGCACCACCCTGAATGCAAGCCCTGTCGGAAAGGCAAGGCCTCGATCTTGTACCCGTCCCACTGCATCACATCCCCAGGACGGTGCTGAGCCCTGGCCGACCGCGTGGTGCAGGCCTGGACGGATAGACACAAACCCGTGCAGGGAAGGAGCCAAAGCACCAAACCCGTGCTTAAGGAGCACACGCGCGCGGAGCCGCTGCAGGGTTCAATCAGCACGTCGTACGCCTGAAGCAGAACACTGGCTAACCATACTGGAATTAAAATTCAAAACTTTACTAAAAAACATTAAATCCTGGGGCACCTGGGTGGCTCAGTGGGTTAAAGCCTCTGCCTTCTGCTCAGGTCATGATCTCAGGGTCCTGGGATCGAGCCCCGCATCGGGCTCTCTGCTCAGCAGGGAGCCTGCTTCCTCCTCTCTCTCTGCCTGCTTGTGATCTCTGTCTGTCAAATAAATAAATAAAAATCTTAAAAAAAAAAAAAATTAAATCCTATCAACTATAAAAACAGTCAGTGTCCTCTCTCTGCAAAGAAGGGAAGAGAGGGAGTTCTGTTTATAAAAAAGAGAAAAGAATGGGAAGGGGCAGAGGGTTTTATATCCCCCCCGCACAGGAAAAATTTTATATACTTTTTGCCCCACTCCACTCCCCTCCAGCAACTCTCATTTGCTTCCCGTGATTAAGTGCCTCTTACAGTTTGTCTCCCATTCCAATTTCACCTTATTTTTTTCTCCCTTCCCCTATGATCCTGTTTGTTTTGTTTCTTAAATTCCACACGAATGAGATCACATGACAACTGTCTTTCTCTGGTCGACTCATTTAGCTCAGCATAATACCCTCTAGTTCCATCCACATCGTTGCAAACAGCAAGATTTCAATTTTTGATGGCTGAGTAATATTCCACACCCCACATCATCTTTATCCATTCATTCATGCACATCTGGGCTCTCTCCAGTTTGGCTATTGTGGATGCTGCTGCTATCAACACTGGGGTGCACAGGCCCCTTCGGATCACTACATCTGTATCTTTTAGCTAAATACCCAGTAGTACACTTGCTGGGTGGTAGGGTAGCTCTATTTTCAACTTTTGAGGAAACTCAAAATGTTTTCCAGAGTGGCTGTACCAGCTGGGGCAGGTTTAAAGAGGAGTAGCAAGGGACGCCAGGGTGGCACAGTCAGTTAAACATCGACTCTTGGTTTTGGCTTGGGTTGTGATATCAGGGTCCTTAGATCAACACCTCCCTCCAGTCAGGTTTAGCCGAGCCTGCTGCAGACTTTCTCCCTCTCCCTCCCCTTGCCCCGCTCATGCACACACACACCCTCTCCCAAAATAAATAAGCAAAATCTTAAAACAAGGGGGGCCTGAGTGGCTCAGTGGGTTAAGCCTCTGCCTTCAACTCAGGGCATGATCCCAGGGTCCTGGGATCGAGCCCCGCATCGGGCTCTCTGCTGGGTGGACAGCCTGCTTCTCTCTCTCTCCGCCTGCCTCTCCGCCTACTTGTGTTCTCTGTCAAATAAATAAATAAAATCTTTAAAAGAAACAAACAAAAAGACTGATCTAAACAAAATTAGAATTTTACTGGGAGGTTACAGAGCTGCAAAGGGTACACCTGTGTGGTGAAGAGAAGCAAAGAAAGACATAAGTCTTAAATATCTAGAACGGGAAGTCAAACAGTAAAAATCATCTGCGGGGCCTGGCTGGCTCAGTCAGTGGAGCATGCGGCTCTTGGTCTCAGGGCTGTTAAGTGTGAGCCCCTCACTGGGTGTAGGGATTACTTAAAAAAATAAAATCTTAAAAAAATAATAATTGGGTAATATAATAAGCCTGTTATTCAGAAATATTAGAAACGGTGGTAATTATGGAAAAAGGATGATTTCACTTAAAAAAGTAGTAAAGACAGTTACTTCTAGGGAGAGGGAAAGGGCGAGCAAGGGAGTGGCAAAAACCCACACTTACAAAATCATGTGTGGAAACTGTATGTGTACATTGTCATCACATCACAGCAAGAGCGCATGTGGCCCAGCCCCCGACTTCACGGCTGACCGAGCCAAGTCCTGATCACCTGGCCGAGGCGGTCTGTGCAGGCTTCCGTGCGCTACACACATCCACTCCTTCCCACACTCAGCTGGGCAGAGCTCGTCTCCTGAAGAGGGAGGACGCGGTGTCTGCGGCTCTGTACGGGACCGTGTCTTTCTCTGCGTCCTCCTTCCTTCATTTACCTGCTCACCCGCACCAACACAGACCGTGGCTATCTGCGCCCAGCACAGGGCTCCGTCCCGAGACCCTGGGACCAGCGCCCCAGCTGACGGCAGACACTTCACGGACCGAGCCACCCGGGTGCGCCTGGATGTTTGCTTTATAGTTTAAATTACAGCTAAAGGCCACTAATTATGGAGCACACTATATTAAGGGAGCACGGGGTGACTCAGTCCATCAAAAACAAGGGAAGTCTAAGAAGTTCCACGGCTCAGGGAGACGGAGGTCAAGTGGGACATGACGCGCTGCCCTGGGCGGGGTTTCGGAACACAACGAGGGTTATCAGGACAAAACCAGTAAAGTCCAAATACAGTGGGAAGTTCTGGGCCGCCTGGTGGCTCAATCGTTAAGGGTTTGCCTTTGGCTCCCAGCTCGGCGGAACCTGCGTCTCCCTCTCCCGCTCCCCTGCCTCTGCTCCCTCTCTCGCTGTGCTTCTCTGTCAAACACACAAATAAAATCTTAAAAAAAAAAAAAAAAAAAAAAACTAACAGGCAATACAATTCCCAACAGTGTGACAAATTTTACCGAACCTTACCCCTTACCCCTCTCAAAAATTAACAAGAGGGGCACCTGGCAGCGCACTCTTGATTCTGGCTCAGGTCCCGATTCCAGGGTCATGCACTGCCCGCACACCCTCGACTGGGCCACACTGGGAAGAGTCTGCTTGGCCCTCTCCCTCCTCCCCAACCCCTCCCCAGTTCAAGTGTGTGAAAACACACACATGCTCTCTGTCTCTCAAATAAATAAATAAAATCCTTAAGAAAAAAAAAGAATTGGGCGCCTGGGTGGCTCAGTGGGTTAAGCCTCTGCCTTCGGCTCGAGTCGTGATCTCAGGGTCCTGGGATCGAGTCCCGCGTCCGGCTCTCTGCTCTGCGGAGAACCTGCTTCCCCCTCTCTCTCTGCCTGCCTCTCTGACTACTTGTGATTTCTCTCTCTGTGTGTCAAATAAATAAATAAAATCTTAAAAAAAAAAAAAGAAAGAAAAGAAAAAAGAAGAATTAACGGAGCGCCTGTGTGGTTCAGTCGGTAAAGCCTCTGCCTTTGGCTCAGGTCATGATCCCAGGGTCCTGGGATCCAGCCCCACACCGGGCTCCCTGCTCAACAGAGAGCCTGCTTCTCCCTCTCCCTCTCCCTGCTGCTCTGCCTACTTGGGCTCACTCTCTCTCTTGCGTCCAAAAAAAAAAAAAAAAATTAACAAAAAGAAAGCAAAGGCCAGAGAAGGAAAGAGCATCATTTTGGTTACTTTACTTCCCTGGTTTTAGCATGTGAAATTCTGCCAGGAAGCAGTAAAAAGCTGATGTGGTAAATAAGGTTTAAAAAAATACACACACACACACAGAGATGGGGCGTCTGGGTGGCTCAGCGTCTGCCTTCAGATCAGGTCATGATCCTTCAGTCCCAGGACTGAGCCCCACGTTGGGCTTCCTGCTCAGCGGGGAGTCTGCTTCTCCCTCTGCCTCTCCCCCACCCAGCTCCTGTTCTCTCTCTTACTCACCCACTTTCTCTCTTAAACAAATAATTAAAATCTCTCTCTCTCTCTCTCTCTCTCTCTCTATATATATATATATATATATTCATATATATATGTTTGGGTTTTTTTTTAAAGGGAACATGTGGAGTTAGTTTAGTGGTGGTGGCTGCCCGACAGAGAGAACATACTAAAAAATGCACTGAATTGTACACTTTAAAATGGTCACTACTATGTTATATGACTTACATCTCTATTTTTTATTTTTTCATCTTTTTAAAAAGATTTTATTTATTTGACAGAGAGAGACACAGCAGGAGAATGAACACAACCAGGAGGAGCAGCAGGCAGAGGGAGAAGCAGGCTTCCCAACGAGGTGGGAGCCCGATACGGGGCTGGCTCATCATGACCTGAGCCAAAGGTGGATACTTAACGACTGAGCCCGCCAGGCACCCCATCTCAATTTTTTAAAAGAATGTGATAGAGGGATGCCTGGGTAGCTCAGTGGGTTAAGTGTCTGCCTTTGGCTCGGGCTGGGATCGAGTCCCACATCAGGATCCCTGCTCAATGGGAAGCCTGCTTCTCCCTCTCCCTCTGCTGCTTCTCCTGCTTGTGCTCTCTTTCTCCGACACATAAAAATAAATAAAATCTTTTTTTTTTAAGATTTTATTTATTTATTTGACAGATATCACAAGTAGGCAGAGAGGCAGGCGGGGGGGTAGGGGAGCAGTCTCCCGCTGAGCAGAGAGCCCGATGTGGGGCTCAATCCCAGGACCCTGAGACCATGACCTGAGCCGAAGGCAGAGGCTTAACCCACTGAGCCACCCAAGCGCCCCGCACAACTTTTACACCCATACTTTGGCATTATTCAATGTGGAAATAACCCAAATTCTATCAACTGATGA